ACCGAATGGTGGAGGAGAAGATGTTGTACGCCACGATATTAATGCTCAAAGCATCTTCTTCTATTCTTTGGTTCCATTGTGTGTAATCATTCTCATGGACTTGAGCCTCGGCTTCGACCTTGTCATGGCTTGGGAAAGAGGTTGGGGTGCCGTCTTCATTTGAGTTTCTCTGTGGAGTCGCGCGCTTGCATATCTGTAATTTATACATTGTCGAGTTCTTAATATCTCGACGTCTTTTATCGATCCGGTTGGATCCATTGGATATGAGTGTTGTGTTGTGTTGCATTGGATTTTGATGGGTATCTTCGGGCTTTCTTTCTTCTTGCCTGAATTACCACATGCGAATGTTAACCTGTCTACTTGACGGGCATATTGAGCTATGTCGTATTCATAAGTTATGGTTTCTCCTCTCCCTCCCTCTTGTCATTCTACCTACAATAGTCAGCACGCGCTGTACAGTCGCTGATTGTCTTCTCACGGCGCGGGCCGTTGGGCATGGTGGTTAAAGCAACCGCTTCAATTGAAGCAAGTAGCTGGTTCGACCACCCGCGGGCGATCGAGGCGGTCATTGGTATTGGCGTGAGCTTGTGCGCTGTCTCCTTCATCGCAGGGCGCATGTACCCCAGAGGACGTAGTGGGAAGAGCGGCAGTCGACGTGGCAAGTGGTCCAACGACGGCCGGTATTGGATGGAGGGTACGAATGCTAACCAGTACGTACAACACCAAGCTGCACCTGGCACACCATATTCGATTGCTCCGACATCAAGTACGAATCCGGCGCCCCCTGGCGGTCCGTATTACGCTGGAGGGCAGGTTCCCCCGCCACCAAGCGTGCAACTACCACCGGCGCCAACAGTTCCGGCTGCCGTACCAGTACAGTATCATCCCGTTCCCAACCAGTGGGGCGCGCAGCCTTGGGCTCCAACTCAGTTCGCACCATGGCAAGGGAATGCTCCGTGGACTGGGAACCCACCCCAGATTACTGCTGCTGCGCAGGCTCTAGTGCACATGCCAGTGCCGATAGTACTGCCACAATAGTCCCCGACTGTTCAATCGAATCCTCAAGGATTCCACGGCGGGCACGGTGGAAGCTCGGCGTCAAGCGGAGGAGGTAAGGGCCCGGCGGCTAATAACTTTCCTGGTCCAGGAAATCGGGCTTACTTCACCAAGGAATACATGCAGATTCTGGAGAGCATCAAGTCCAGCAAGGCTATTGATGAAGCTAGGAAGAAGCTTGGAGCACCAAAAAACAGTGTTGCAAAGCGGAGTGGATCGCGAAGTGTAGAACCTCAGGACGAAGGGAGTAGAGATGACTCACGCTCAACAGAGAAGAGCGAAGACATGAAAGTCAGGGTTACCTCTACACTAGGAGACTCGTTGAAGCTCATCAATTCTAAATTGGAGGCGGTGGATAAGAAGTCCAAATTGGATGCAGCCGAGCGGGAAGAACTGAAACACCTACAGAAGGAAGTGCAGGTTGGCAAAGACAACAAGGAGCTCTTGAGTAATGAGAAGCGGAAGCGATGTGTCGCCCGTACTCCCGTTGAGAACTCTCCATCCGTGGCGCGCGCCAGACCAAGATCCAAAGGCAGTTCAAAGACCAAGCCGAAGCGCATCGAACTCTCTGACGATGAAGGCCCTTCCGACACTAAGCAGAATCTGCAAGAAAAGTTGGACAGCACAAGTAGCGAACTGTCGGACATAAAGCGAATGCTTGCGTCACTCATGAGCGGCCTGCAGGACCCGAAAGGGAAAGGTAAGGTAGTCGAATCTGGGACTACAAATGTATGCACCGGCGGAGGCGCCCCACGCGTAACTGATGTCACGCAGAACGCCCAAGTCGATGGAGAGGAGGAAAATCCTGATGAGGATGGGTTTGCTACGTACATGAAGGTGCGTGCAGATTACTACGGATCTCTCCACTACACAAGAGTCCAAGAACTCTATAAGGAGCATGATGTCGAGTACTTCAAGAAAGACGTCGCGGTATGGGAGCTCGCCCGGCAAGATCTGCAGGAGTATGCAGATTCATTGAAGGAGGATCGGTGTGAGAAGCAGCATAGGAGGGAGACAGCAGTGGCGTCCGAGCAGGAGGACGCCAGCGAGGACGGTGACACCGTAAAGGGAAACTGAGTCTTGGGAGTATCAGATCTATTAAGCGAGCAGTTAACTGGATTATTAATGCTAAAAGGTCTCTCGAACCTTCGCTGCTTAGCCTATTAGAACGCATTCAAGTACTCCTTACTATCCTTGCCTGTCTAAATGGATTGCTACGATGGGGGCTAGCTTATATTCGATTCTGGGGTAAATTGATTGATGCGCACAGCTGTGTCTATGTCCTGCTTTTCGTCCATCATAAACTCGTGTATGTTGGTAAGACAGGCAGATCACTTCGCGAACGCTGGTCTGAACATGGTCGCGCTGTTCGAGGGAAAAGTAAGCAGAAGGTTCATTCCTGGTTCCGAAAAATTGGTATTGAATCTTACATCCCCATACCTATTTGGTTCGGTGACGAATCCACAATTGAATGCATGGAACAGACTATTGTTAAGAGTACGAACCCGGGATTAAATGCGCGAGGTACCGCGAAACGACGGCAGCCGCGAAGATCGCGCGGGAAGCGCTTACGGAAGTCGTTACCCACGACAGACGTGTTGGAACCGTTGTTGTTTTCTTGCTCATGTGTGGATGCGCAAAATGAACCTGATTTGCTTCGTGTTCTAAAAACACTAGTTAAGAACAAGGTTAGCAAATCAGTGACCATAACCAACAACACAGGGGGGCGTTGGATGAAAGCATGGTGTTTGGTATCGCTGTTATTTGGACATAGTAAGTTAAGAATAGAAAACGGAAACTTTCTTCTCAAAGATGCCAAGTTTGCTATTGAGAAGGGAGGAGAATAGACTATCACCCAGCTTATCCGTACGCGAACTAAAACAGACATCAAAAAAGCGGAGGTCATCGCACTTCTCCGAGCTCCTTGGAAAAGGAAAGATCTGGTTAGGCTGAGTCTCACTGAACTCCTAGAACTAGATTCAACTGTTAAAAGTATCAATCAACCCCGCGGGCGACAGATTATCGTGGTATCCTGACAAGTGTATGCCAAAAAAAGTTTGGTGTTAACCCCCGTGCAAGGATTGTTGCAAAAATTCCCTTTTGTACTACCATTGACAAGAAGAAGGTTGAAAGTTGTTTAAAACATTGGATTAAAGAGAACGTCCAGCCTACTCTGCTAGTTGATCTGTATGCAAGGAAAACTCGTGCGGTATGGTTGAAAGCCAAGACTGTAGGAGATTTGCTGCATAACCATAAGTTCTTCGCACAACAGAGCACGTTTGAGTGTGTGTGTGAGAACTTCGACTTGCCCAAAATTAACGAACACGTCGCGGTCAAAATTAGCGAGGTTAGTGGTTTGGACCCATTTTTATCTAATGCCAAGAACACGCCCTTCCCCGAGACCATAGTATCATGGCATGGCCTCAACCGAGCATGCAACGAGGCACTGAATGTTATTCAAAGGGTCGGAGTAACCAACCAGTTTCGAATACCATATGGATCTGTTACGAAGAAAGGAGAAGCTAAGCCACCTGGATGCATCCTGAGTGAATACGTACTCGGGGTAAAGCAAGCACTGACAGGTTTGGTTTTAAGACCGCTGGATCGTAACACCAGCGAGACTTGGTTCGAGTGCCCAAAAAGGTATGAAATGGGACTGCAATCTATGTTCCTTCACAATGGGAACTATGAACGTTTGAATGCTGAAAGGAGTGGGATCCTACGTGAAATGCAGACCGAATACAACGAACAAGGCCTGGGGCAAATTGCCAGATGGGATGGGCGCAGGGAATTACAGTATGCCTATATTATGCCTAAGGAAAAGGACAAAGAAAAAARAAGACCAATAGTCCCTTCTTTCCAAAGCCCTTTTCGTGCTGCGTCAGGCGTGCTGTCCCTAGCCTTGAATTCTCTGATTCGTAAGGTGAACGTTCCTCACTTAAACCTTGGATCATTGAGTGACCTTCGTTTGGTGATCTCTAGGATTAACCGGGAAATTGGACCCTTGTCTGAGTTCGGGGTTCTAGCCCGCACGTATGATATTAAGGAGATGTTCACCCAACTGCCCCATAAGGTAATTAATCGTGCAGTACAATGGATCATCGAGYTSTTCRTCCAGAAAGGTGTACGCTKGATCCRGCTTAACGCTAGGAAAAAGCTGACAACTTTCGGGAAATCCCATGGAGAAGCCGGGTRGAAATCTTTCCGGCTTACCTCTCTAATCTCGCTTTCTCAGTTTCAGCTTGAACACACTGTGTTTTTGGTTTCCGACGTGGTTCTGCGCCAGAAAAAAGGAATTCCAATGGGCGGGAGAGCCAGCCCTGCGCTAGCCTGCGTGATGTGTATGTAYTCGGAATACMRCTTCATCTCGACCYTTRGCACCGATGCAAAACTCATCACCGGAAAAAGGTATGTGGATGATCTATTGCTTTTTTCTGTCTTTAAAAAGAACAACCCAAYGRGGATAACGGAAGCTAACCACCGCCTGGATAAAATTTTGCGATGTYACCCCCAGGAATTGAGCCTAGAAAGAACCGACTCCRGCTCGGGGATCCTCGACTTCTWRGAAACAAGGATGATTGTCRCAGAAGATAACAAGTCCGTGATTACAGCCCACAAATTTMAGAATCGGGAATCAATTTGGGGGTCTCAGAATCTACAGTTTCAGACATATARAAATCCTGCTTCTTTCGGGCCCAAAGMMRCCAAATTCGSTACTATAGCTAACACTATTCTGCGAATTTCAGAGAACTGCAGCAACTTGGGTATGACGTACATCAGTATTCTTACACTTGCGGCGGRGATCAGCAAGCTTGGGTATGACAATAAATTTGTCCTTTCCGGGCTGAGATGGATGCAACGACGCCAAGGCAATGACCCCTTTTGGGTCCAGATGCGAGAAATCGTGAAAAACACGATTTTTTGAGCAGATGAACGGCTTAAGAGATCTCTGAGGATACCTCCTGACGACTTCTCCATAGCATGGTTTGTCTTTTTTAGCAACGGCGCGTGGACGGCGGTTTCTGGCAAACTCGTTGTTCAACAACCTGTTGAGTACTAGTTTTCAGCATGAACCTCGACGGGTTCCTCGATACCTACTTGAAGGCTCCGCGCAGTACCGGCGCGGCAGGAAGGCTATGACTACCTATGGTTTTTCGGGTTCCTCCTTGTATCTGTAAATTTTGCTTGGCCACATACATGCTGTACGGTAGTATGAACATACCCGTATACGTGTGCTCAGGCTGCTGGCCCAGTTTAGGCGGGTCAATGGAGTGCCACCTCGACGATCACGAGTTCGAGACACTGCAGATCTGGTTTAATATCTTCGACGGTGACAAACCTACCTCTCGGTAATTCTCTGGCTCATATTTGGAGACAGATTCTTTAGCAGTATGTTTTAGAGGTTTGAATTGTATGCTTCTTAATGCCTGGCCGAACCTGGTCGGCTTCGTACGTAAGATTAATTTGCTAAGTATATGGTCGGAAATCCGCACCCCATGCATTTCTTAATTTTCTCGCCGTATACCC